GCAGGGATGAATGCCCGGAGATCATACGCGACCTGATCTCGTACGTTCGCATCGATTTTTGATGTGGGATGGTGCAGTCGTCAACCACATGCGACTATAATCAGCTGTTCTAAACTTCCTCATTGGAAGTCACGAAAAAGCGGTGGGTTTTTCGAGAAGTTGTTAATTGTGTAATTACCGGAGAGTTCTTCGTCTTTTTGTAAGTGTTATTGAAGCGTTTGGCCTAGTAGATTGTATATCAGTATACCCTTCCAGGCTCTGAAGAAGGCGATACTGCCGAAACGTCAGCTAGCGTTGTATTGTATTGTGTTTTCTTTATGGAAGTAAATGTATGCTGTTTAAAAACCTCGCGATTGCTGAGCAAGAAAACGACACATTCATATTCCAATGCCGAGGTTAAGAGAAAGTCGATCTTGGGAACTATAACAATATAGTATTCAATACGCCTCCGATTTGAGAGAAGAAATATTCATTAGAGAATATAGAGTTGTCGAACTGTTGCTGTTTAGCTATGAACATTGAACTTTCTTAACATATAGCGGTGCGAATCGAAAACTGATCGTTAGAAGGATGCATACTAGTTGCTGCCTTGACAATGCTCGTCTTCTTTCCTCGAACATCAGGATGTTTGAAGATAAAGTCGCTTCATTCTCTATGAATTTCCGCAGAGATCTTTTATAAGGTCATCGTTGGCAATTTCAACGGCAATTTGGCGCATGAAGAGCATCATACCACGTCCTTTGGATTATATCACGTTGACTAGGAATTCCATAGTAACTCGTGGATGTAGAGGGCTTGCTCTAAAGATTAGAAGCAGCTGTCATGAATCTTGCATAAAACAATAACTCTACGATACTGATAGAAAGCCAAGAGCTTCAAAATCACCAAAAAACCTCTGTCTCTGGATATCGAGTTGATGAACCAACATAGCATAAGTCACAAACAGTCACAATGATCAAAATTGCAAGATTCTTCAGTGAAGTGATAGAACAAGTCTTTGCAGAGATAAAACCAGCAGTATTGGACGAAACTAGAGTGGTTGGTAACAGCACCAGCAACAAACGGCAAGACTTTGACAGCTGCCATATTAAGATGATCGCTACCCAGTGTCCGGAAAAAGCATTTCGAAAGCTATGTTCACCTACCTCTATATCAAGCCACGATGGTTGAAAGTGAAAGTGAAATGATAACTGGCATCTACACCACTTTCGCCTTGCTGATACTATATGGTTCTTATAAAATCAAGTACTAGCCGAGCTGGATGAATACTGGCTGGTTACGATAGTGCGTATTTAAAAAATCGTCCTCAGTTGAACTTTAGAAAAATACACTTGCATAGAATGGATTCCTTTATTTCTAAATGTTCCACCTATGTGTACCTGACAAGACAAGTCAACATGATGAGAGACTTAATTCCACTGTTGGAAGTGAAAAAGAGCTCCGCTCTGAATGTCTACAACAACATCGGTAAACGTATCGAACACGAAAAGCTGCAGCACTCCGAGCACAACTCTCAACTCTCCGACCTTACAATTCTTCCTAGGTTAGCACACATATCATAAACTTTGACGCTTAATCAGGACGAGAAAAGATTTGGTTTGACAGGAAGTGCAATAGACAGCGTAATGCTACAAGTATCTAGCATAATGCAAGTGAGAGAGAGAGAGAGACAGAGAGAGAGAATTTGAAGTTCCGATCTACGTTGGCGTTAAAATATCGGAGACGCTGCCGTTTTACCAAACTACCAAGAATCAGGTAAGCCAACAAGACAGGATGCATCTTATCTCCATACCATGCTAAGCGTCTAGCAGGAACAACTACTATCCAATGGTCGGATTTTTTCACGAGGATCTCTGAAGAAAAATACGTTGATTTTCGTGATCAGGAGGCTAACTATACTCACTACTCTTTAAAGCAGAACGAAGAAATACGGAATTCACTGAGGCCATTTAAGTCGACGATTAATGGAACAAGTGATAACAATGAAAATGTGTTCCTAGGAGATTCGTATAGATAGAGGCTTTCAAGAGATTCAAACCGGATAACATAAAAAGTTAAATATATTCTGATAATAGTGGTCATGCAGAATATAAACCCACAACAGAATGCAACCATTCGCTCCACTTCACTCCGCCGCGACTCGCACCTTTTTATTTTATACAGTTTCATCGAAAATCGCTTCTCATCTTTCTTGTCATTGATCGTAAGATACCTGAAACACACTGTTATATTCACCAGAAAAGGTAAATATATACAACCTATAGAAAGGGTTTTCCCGCATAAAATAGGAATTCAACGTCAAGGATTCAGCCGAAAATCTAGAACTGAATGTTATCCATAACGCGATGTAAAGAAAAAGTGGAATGCTCGAGTAGGTAGAAATAAAGAAAAACAAGACCAAGTTTAAGCAAGACGACCTACCTACAAGATTCCAATCCATCTGTGAGACCTTCGGACTGCTGTGAACTCATGGAGTGTTCAAGACAAATAGCACGAGCACGAACTTTAGCTAACTCACACATCACTGCTCTAAAGGAAACAGAATACCAGTAGAATCAAAGGCACTTTGATGAATAAAAACGCCGAAATGAATAGATCTCCCAAATAGGAAGAAGGTCACTTCATCTCCTCATGGCATTTCGTTTTTTGGTATTTCAACAATTTCCATCCCATCAATAACATTACCGTTATTCGACACGAATTTGAGACCAACAGAGCTGGACATTTCAACAAAACTATGCTCTATGTCTAGCATGTCTGGAAACGAAAATACCTTGCTAAATGCTCTAGATTAATTTAAGCGAGAATCGCCATACCACTAGGACACTTTCGCCTTCTCTGACGAATTTCTTTTATTGTGGACAAACAACTGCATGGACGATGTTTTCCCAAAAACCTGCGAAAATAAACTGCATGATATGGAAAAAAGAAATGTTCCACTACTTACCTGAAGTGCGCTCAACACACAAAACAGTTGTATATCATCGAGGACATGCACTTCTCGACATTCTTCGCCACAATTACTGCACACATTTGTCTCATTGTGTTGATCGTCAGCACTAAACAGAATGTGATTTTATAAAGCGCAAAGTGTAAAGAGAAGTTGTCTAATCTAGTCTCCACCCAAAGATCAAATAGCCAAAATCAACTCCTATTTTCAGTTACCTTTATCTCGCTATTCAGCCCTTTGTATCCTTTCTTTTCCAACAGTTACTTATCTCAAATACTTCCTCATTAAAATTTTAGATCGAAGAAATCTACCATTCTCTTTCGTGGGGAGATAACGCAGTAGTATTGATGCCACTCATCACAAGCACGAGAATGGTTCGACCTGCACAGGGCCCACCGACCCTCGTATTCCTCTGAGATCGAGAAATTGGTACGAGACTTGTCTGGAAACAGTTTACTTCCTACAATCCAAGTGGCCACACTCTAGCCCTGGTATTGCAGGATTCCAGACAGAATCGATTAAACCAGCATTCAACGACATTCTATGAAAAGGCAGAAATCTTTAAGCAGCAGTCGAAACCACACACAAATCCGAGGATCTTAACAGACGACGGATGCGAGGAAACGAACAATTGATTGGAAGAAGTGGTGATATCCGCACAACAATATGTTACTAATAGCCATGTAAAATAATGAAACATAAAAGTAGTGCACCTCGTTTTTAACTGACTCACTAAATCAAGCACCTTCGCATCTGGTTTACACTGAGAGCATAACAATAATAAACAGAAACAATTGCACAGCTAACATTCAGCCGACTATGGCTTTCAAGCCACTATAATAGCGAATTCAAAATCTTTCACCACGCAAGAAGCCCATTTCTTCTGCTCTGTTAAAGCCAATCCTATGTAGAATTCTGACACATCTAGTAGTAGAAAAAGGAGAAATCTCACCAATCGTCGCCTTCTGCCATTCTAGTGTCGATTACACTCTTATAGTCGGTGTCTCCCCTAGTATTGTAGTAAAACTGGATAATTGAAGACACAGATTGATATGGCATCTTAGAAAAAATCGATTTAGTACACCGAACCTTCTTTTACATAAGCGAAGGAGTGGAGAACTACCATTTGGCGAATTTTATCGAATCTTTTTCCAAACATGAGCAATACTTGCTTAAATAGAGCGCGATCGTCTTCACTCCATTCCTCATTGATAGGTCGACGTCTCCTCACTTTCTTTTGAGCAACGTTAAAGCCAAAGTACGATTTTTGCTGAAGATAAAGTGCCTGTAATAAGGTGAAACTAATTTTCGCGCATATCAACAATCGCTTATGGTAAGTAATCCTTTACGCTTTGCTAAACCCAATGGAGAAACAACGACAGCAAGAACTTCGTCATATCTTAGTTTAACATGTACGTATGATGATGTAGTTGTCTATTCAAAAGTTTTGAAACCCAACTGGTTTCTCCCACGACCGACTTTCTATTAACCTCGGCATTGATCAAGTAATTCTTCGTATTTTTATTGAGCAAATGCGAGGTGTTATTATTCTTTATTCACGAACAAGCTAACGTTTCGGCGGATTTCGCCTTCCTCAGAGTCTGGAAAGGTCACATTCGGCCAGACACCTCCATAACCAAACAAAGAAACTGTAAACCAAGATTTCAATCACACTGAACACAGCTTTGCACAACTGGTTTCAATCACATAACAGATAGCAGGGCCACTGCTTCTATCATTATTTTTTCAAATTAGTACTGCTGTTAGTTAGCTAAATTAAATTCGATGTTGTCCATCAACCACCTAGCGGTTTATCACCTCATCGTTACTTGAAGCTGTTCCTAGGTGTCGGGCTGCGGTGTAGAGCAGGGCAGTTCATTACTACGGCAGGTCCTCCCAATCTGAGGAGTCCCATGTCTCTATCGAAAAGCTCAGCTAAGAGTAAACCAGTACCAGGATCTATCACCGTCCTGATACAAAGCTAGTCACGTGGTGGAAAATATCCCTCTCATCCACAAATGCGGTGACCGCCTGGGGTGGTGACGAGGTGGAGAAGGCATCGCCTATGCTAACCCTGGGAGTACGGAACAAAACAGTGGCCAAACGAACAATTATGGAAATTATGCTGGGGCTTGCACAACCAGTGAAGACGAGCAATCCAAGTAAGCCAAAATGAGACAGAAGGAAGAACTATGTAACCGACCTCCCATCAGCTGACATCCTTCTATTTAAATGTTATTTTTATTGCTTTAATATCTTATTTTCTGCTGTTTTCTATCAAAGTGTTATAGTATTACTATCAAAGTATTATGGTAGATTAAAATTAAGTTAAGAGTGTTCTCTCAAAGTTAGGACTAACTGCAAACAAGTGGCTATACAACAAAGTAAAAGAAAAAGATGAGCAACACATGAACAAAAACCTGGTCTTGTGCATGTCTGTACTTCTCAGCGGCATATTCACAGTACTGATTAAGACTTATTTCATCAATATCAGGTAGTGGACACCACACTTGAAATGCGTTCTATCCAATGGAAAAGAAACACACCAACGGAAACATATTTTAACGTATAACTCGCAAAACGTAATTTAGATGGCTCGTCTTACAAAGAAGTCGAGTAAGCTGTAGCGCAAAACCCCTCCAGCTGTAATTTCTATCTTATTTTCTGTTGTTTTCTATCCAGGTGTTATAGTAGGTGCGTCAAGCCGTTCCCAATATGTCTCCACATTCTGCTGTGTGGATAAGAGGATGATTTGCTACACAGCGGCTAGCCTTTCATGAAGAAATATAGAAGACTCTGTATTCGGTTGTCTCTGGCAGTAGGTACACCCTTCGATAAACAAAGTAATTCAAGGAAACCCTCAATGGAAGTACAGTATACATCAATACTATGTTCAAAGCAATCTACTCCTTTAGATAGGAAAAATCGAATCGAATGAAAACACAAATTAGCAGAACAAACCCTCTGAGGTTCATTCACATGTGCTCGGAAATCATCACCAACATGGATTTTTCGGTCGGCACTGCTTAGCACGGCTGAAGAATTACATAGTGTAAGTTGACACAGTAGTCCTCGTATTCTAAAAAAAAAGAGAAAAAACAGAAAATGGGCCCGCCCCTGCTCTGGCGTAGCTACACAAAAGTGCTTCAATAAAAGGTGTACTGCTTAGTACCATCTAAGACAGTTCTATCTATGAATATTACAACTGTCGCTAGATTATCATTATCCCTATAGTGTTATCACATTCATAATACTGTAGCAGTGTGGCAACTTTTACCCCGAAAGATAGGGCACTCTGTATTTTGGAGGAGATGGGTTTGAAGTAACAAACCATATTCTATTATAGATCTCACGATCTTCTATTTAGAATGGACACTCAAATGGAAATTAACCACGCAGGGATTTCATGAACTTCACACACCTTTGTGATCAATTTCTACATCTTCATCCTTCTCTTCATCTTCGTTATCACCGTCTGAATCATTACGTTTAGTCCTGGTACGTTTACTACGTTTCGTTGTCTTCTAAATATACGCTAACGAAAGAAGCTAACGAAATGTCAACAAGCACTAAGAACACCGTACCTTTGAGATGATATTCTCGTTCTCTCTTGACTTTTCTTCAAAATCAGCATTGTGCGCATCGCTTTAATTTTCTTGCTTCAGAACCTAAGTCGAACGGAATGGTCTCTGATGATGTTAAAGCTATACAATTTCGCAAAGTCTGTAGTATATGTTTGATCATAACCAAAGCACACGAACCCTTCCCATAAACGAGGACTACTTATAGACGTTTTAAAAAACGTAAAAATCCTCCAATTTTAGCCTAGGAAGTTTCCAGGATTAAATGCGTGGTTACGTGACAGGTGGGCAACGCAGCATGGACCTCAGGCAACTCCGACATAAAAATGAATGGTTCATAATCGTTTTTGTCTCTTAATAAATTATATGCTCCTGTATATTCATGATGTACACACGACCATGGACACGTGGATGCCCGGGCTTGCAGATACGCATTTTTTCTTATTCAGGATTTAATCAAAAGCTTGTTGCAGAGGAGTTCAAAGGCGTGGAAGTCCGACAAGGGTATGCTCCAGTAAGTACAGTTTACGAGCATTTCAGAACAGTCCGAAGAGCTAAGTGTCGATGTACCCAACCCTTGGGAATGAAAAGTAAACAGGTACAGCATCAGAATGTGTATCCGAGTGTGCATCAGACGGGACGTCGACTTCCATCTCCTCTAGCAAATTCGGTTGTCCGACTTCCTTCTCAACAAATGCATGAACTCCATCTTCAGATGTGCATTTTCCTAAACGTGCATGGTCTATTGTAGTCGATCTCGAGCAAAACCTTTAGAAGCGAGACTTTTACAGCACTAATTGAAGCGTCCCTCACTTAGAGCAGGAACGAACCGAAAGATAGTAAAATGGTAAGCGGTAAAGCAAAAAAAAAACAATAAATCAACAACAAAACGCATAAAATATTTCCTTATTATTGAACCTCACATTATGCTTCAATTTTAAATTTTCGTTCGGATACGGAAACTTCGATTTATCGATACCACAGTTCCATACTGGGAACAGTTCGAGACAAGTAGTAAGTAGGACTTGCGTATTTACTTAGATACTGGGATTGCCGGTGTTCACTGGTTCTGCGGACTCCAGCATGGTTCCCATTCGCGGGAAATTTGCTGGTTCAGTTATCGTGGTTCCATGGTGACCCGAGGTCGGCCGAGCCAAAGTCTGCTCCAGGTCATCACCACAACAGGCAGCCGTGGCCTTTGTGGATCAGAAGGACATTTACCACCATGCGACTAACTAGATATACTCACGGTGGTCAATCCTTGCATTGGTTTACTCTTAACTGGGCTTCTTGATGGAAACGGTGGACACCGTCTCAGCTTAGGAGACGCGGCCGAGCAGATGAATCTCCTCGCTGTGAATAGCAGCCCGACGCACAGGAGCACCTCCCAGCCCCGATGAGGCGGTAAACCGTTGGGAAGACTGTCTATTTTCTATACCAGAAAGTTATAAATTATGTATTCCGATGTAAGATAGTATAAAGTGAGTTGAAAAGTAACGAAGTAACCATAACAGAACAGAGAAAAGCAGTTGCATCCATAGTTTCCTATTCTTGGGCTACTCTAGCGATAGCCTCCGAACGGTTTGCTGCCTCATCATGGCTGGGAAGTGTTCCTGGGTGCCAGACTGCGATGTACAGCTCGGGACTCATCTCCTGGAAGGGTCTCCCAAGCCCAGTCCGGCTTTTCCATCAGGAAGCCTAGTTAAGAGTAAACCAATACCAGGACCCACCACCATCCTGGTATCAAAGTCGCATGGTGGAAAATCTCCCTCTGATCCACAAGGGCTGCGATTGCCTGTGGTGGTGAATACCTCGGGCCAGACTTTTGTCAGGTTGACCTCGAGATTTCAGGGAACCACAGTGGCTTAGCCAGCAGATCTCCAAAAAGTGGAGATTATGATGAGGCCCGCACAACCGGTGAGGACGGTCCATTCAAGTACCAAGTGTCAAGTACTAGCGATGGAGATACTACACTACATCTTGCTAAGACTAGTACACACGGACACATTGGATGCAATGCACACTCTAATTCACAATCAACGTCTAAGCAACTGTTTCGTTTCTCGAATCAGCCAAGACAATTACGAGAGGTATCCTATGACCTACGTCATAGCTTCTTTAAATAATACTGAGAAAACGGTTAAACTTGCGAACCCTATCCACTCCCAAAAATGATGCATGGTAACGTGACCTGTCCGCAATTGCAGATCCCACAGAATACGCGGGAAACAGCAAATTTCAGTCGCCCTGAGGCTTCTGTTGAAAAAGCGACGCTAAGTTTTTCTTCTTGGACTTTTCTGTTGTCAGTAGGATTCACGTCAGCTGCAAAGCCTTTTTAAGTTATACTAGGTAACTTAGTCAGATTTCAAGTCAAATGTATTGACGGGGGATTCTAAGGTCGTTTTGCTGTCTAGTACAACCTTTCTATTAAGACAGAAAACAAGATTTTGAGACAGCACTTGTGAAAATCCCCAAGGTGTTGGCAGCCTTAGTCATTCTTTTTGTTGCATCGTTACTTTTTCTTGATATCACTTTCTGATTTTTGTCTTTAAATGAGCTTCTGTTTTGCCAGAGATTTAGAGGCTGTACGATTTTATTTCACTCGGACTTTTATCATGGAAGGCGATCATGCTTGTCAAAAACCAGGAGTACTCACTAGTTCCCGGTAGGATATCCTTCGTGTGATTACAAATAAAGGTGCTTCTATCATTTCCAAATATCTCATCGTTGCTTCTTTTCAATTCATACTGATTGATTTCGCATACGGAGTTGATCTTAGCAGTTCTCTTAATCGGTTTGTTATCTCTAATCCGTTTTCCACGAAAGAGGTCAAATTTAACTGTTTTCATGAATGTCGTTGAATGCGTTTCGAGTTCGTTCTCCCTGGAATCTTCGGGTAGCTCTATGGGTTTCCACCATATACAATCACCGGACTTTGTGAACCGGAGGGAGCTTTTTCGAAAGAAGTCGTATCAGTTTGCGGACTATTGCCTGAGTGGCCTGGTTGGCACCCAGGTTTTATCTAGGTAGCTTGTTGCAGGTCGCGCTCCTGTATCGGCCACCATCCAAGCTGCGCGAAGTCTAATGCGCAGAAGTATTGTACAACTGTCTTTAGGTGTCAATTGCCATGACCGATTTTCTTTTAACCTCGGCATTGATTGATAATTCGATGTTTTTCTTCAATAAGCAGACACGAGGTTGTCGTTATAGGATTTATTAGGATACAATAGCTGACGTTTCGGCGGTTTCGCTTTCTTCACGGTAGGTGTTTAAGTGAAGCTGTTTCTTATGCAAATACAAATTTATTTGTTAAGTTTTATCTGCTAGGGTTATGTAAGTGTTTGGCTGGGTAGATCGCATCTCAATTTGACCTTTCTAGGCTGTGAAGAAGGCGAAACCGCCGAAACGTCAGCTATTGTATCCTAATAAATCCTATAACGACAACCTCGTGTCTGCTTATTGAAGAAAAACATCGAATTGTCTTCCGGTGTACCAGCGAAAAGAACGGACTCGGCAGTTCCGAACGGCAACCGCTATCCAAGTAAAATTTTCTTTTTTCGAGTTAATGAAGAGAGCCTCGCTTTATTACGCCGATTTTTAGCACTGGATAATTCTCCATTGCTATTGTGTTAGAATCTTGTCACATGCTACTTGACCTTGTGTAACACGGCTCTTTCTTTGTTGTTTGTCATGAAAAAGAAAATTTTGTGTAAACAGAAGCTGTGGAAGCGATAAAAACTTTTTCAAATGCTTGGGTATTTTGGAAATCATGGAGAGACCCTGAAAAAATATCAATTTACTTTTGGAATTGAGGATTACTACTTGTTAAGCTTGGAAAACGTTTCTGCTTGTCTTTCGCTTCACATTGAAATTCCTAGAAAACGAAATCGATTGAAGTTGTTGATCCCTTAGTGACGCAACCCCTACCTGACCCAATAAGAGCGGGTAGAGTGATATTATCCTGTAAGCAACCGCGTTATCTTCAATCGACAACTGCTGCAGTTCGCCGTACAACGTCAAACACTGGTCCATCGAATGTAGCGAATGTCCCCCAACAGAAAGCTATGGGCAAGTCACTAATAATTCTTTAAAATATGTTTTAGAATTTTGTCTCTGTTCACATTTATCAGTCTTCCAATCAAAACATTCTAATTACTTGTTCTTTAGTTCGTCGCTCTTTCTCAGTTAAGCGCGAAAGTATGAAAACGGTCGAGCTTAAATCGAAAATCGTTGATCCCGAAAGTGACTAGTGAAAGCAAAGGCCGATTGGAAATAGCTCAGGTATCGCTGTTTTCTATTTTTTTGAAAAGACTGAACTTCCGATAAAGGATTCTTTTTTAGAACCATTTACTATTGAAGGATCAGAATTTAGCAGTGGTACGGTTCGTGAAATGAGTGGCAAACAAAGTAAAAGTAGCACTAGTCCTAATCGTTCCCGTCACTTTGTTTCGTTCCAACAATTTGATGTGTTCTCGCTTTCTTTTTAGAGTTCGCTAAAGACTTTCAAACAGACGACCGCACTTAAGGACGGGCAAATGATCGCGATTCAGGCCGCACTGGATGCCGAAAAAGGCAAATGTGCGGTTATGCAAGCTTAGCTTGATCCTGTGGGTATTGTTGACAGTTTTGAAAAATGATTTTATTAGTTTTATGGTGATATGAAAACTTTATTTGACTTGTAGTTTCGCAACGAAGTTCTTGGGTTATGGCCGTCAAGTTTCTGGTAGAATTTATTCAGCACAGTTTTTGATTTGTTATGAAAAAATTTCAGGAAAAACTGAGAAATTTCGCCAGGAGAACGAACTCAGCCAATGACTGGGAAACATCGGTCATTTGATATCAGAGCTTACAGCTAAGCGTAATGAACTGCATAGGAAGGACGAAAAAATCAGAATACTGCATAATGCTGTCGTGGATTTAAAGGTTTTTACATCAGTTATTAGCTGCCTTGTACACATAACAGAATTAATTTTAGGGTCAAATTCGGGTGGCCGTTCGTGTTCGACCACCTCTTGGTAAGGAGCTGGAGGTTCCTACTAACCATCTCTCTTACCCGTGTCTATCTTCTATAAAGCTTGATCAGGTACAACCTTTTTTCACTTGCATGGAACCTCAGTTTACATCGTTATTTGCTGCTATTTGTTGTCGTTATATCGCGGTTATTACTAATTATTGCTGTAATTATTTGGCATTTGTTATTGTTTTCAATGTTTAACGTTTTGTTTTCTGCCTTCTATAATTTTCATGGCAGTTTACTAAGCGAAATACAACCACAACGTTGCTGAGATATTTGCAAAACTCTGGACCGCAGGTGTCTATGGTGGGGAACGAACGCGCTATTATCCTTTCCGGGGAGTAACGCGTTCACCACCACACCATGCGGGTCCTTTGTTTCGCACGTCTCTCAGCTATTTCTATCGATCTTTTTGCCACAGCAATCCCAACTCAGTTGTAATAGAGTGCAATCGGTTTGAAATATTAATGAGGGATGGAATGGACGAAGTGTTAAGGAATGCACATTGCGACATTGGTTTAGCGAGAAAAAATCGTGGTTGTCAATTCGACGTTGAAGATGGGGAAGTTTGCGAACCCCCTCTGCTCCTGACGACGATGGGTTAAGGACTTCATGAGTAGTATATATGTAGATACTGAGATAGCCAAGAGACAGGCGAAACAAAGGACCCGCATGGTGTGGTGGTGAACGCGTTACTCCCCGGAAAGGATAATAGCGCGTTCGTTCCCCACCATAGACACCTGCGGTCCAGAGTTTATCTCAATCTCAGTAATCTTGTGGTTATATAGTACGAACTGTTTTTCACAAATCAATTTCTGGTACCGGGATGAAAATCCCAAGTTTACTTTCACGAATTCAAACCCGTATGTAGTGCAGCCAAACGGCTCGTGATTTCAGTGATATATAGCACCAAAGACAAAGGATAAAAGGAAGGGCGCGTATACCGCAGTGGTTAGAGGTTCCTTGAAGTATATGCTAGATCGGTCACTGGTTCGATGCTGCTCTCCAGGCTCACTAAACCTCCCATCATCCGCGTTCGATAAATTGGTGCCAGACCTGTTTGGGAGGACGGCAGCACTAACTTGACACATCGGTAGACCACAGCGAGTAGGCCAGATATGCACTTGATCACCTCTAACGGTGATTGATGAAGTCCAATGCATGGCTCGTCTCTCAGGGAATGATCAACGCCGAGAGCTTTATTTATCNTTTAACTTCCATTTACCACCTATTCTTTCTTCATGGTAGGGCGCGATGCAATGTGCCATCACAAGGACGCTGAGATAGGAGCGAAACTGAAGACCTTGAGCCCCGGTAGGAGTAATCACGATTTCGAAGTCTACGCAGGTTCTTAAGTTTCCCTCATATCTCAGCATACTTATGGTTGGATGCGCAAAAGTGTTTGAGAACTTGCAGAAGAACTCGGTGTGAGCATCTCAGTTCTTCATAGAAAATTTAAAGAAACGAGGTAGTTAGTTGGATTCACCACATCTTCTTGAATTAGTGCGATGCGATTGCTGCAGAGTACCTCCATCGATTCAACGAAATGGTCAGGAAACTTCAATTTCTGCACTCTTCGTTGATCAACAGAATGGTACCAGTCTTTCTGCATGATAAACACATGGCGACGCGTCGAACAACTGACTGCAAAAGTCAAACTAGCTGGGTTACGAAGCTTAACCTCATCCATCATACTCGTCAAACTTCCCTCTTACCGTGCATTCTTCAATCATCTTTATTCATGTGCGAGAAATGTTTCAGATACCAAGGCGAAGTCATAACTGATTTAAATGATTTCATCGCTTCCAGAAGTCCCAGTTTTTGTAACCTGTACTAGTAAACTTGTTCCTTGTAGACAAAAATCTGTAGATGCCTGTGATTCCACTTTGTTCAGTCAAGTTTACACTAAGTTGAGATACACCACTTTAACTCTACAGCTTGAATGAGGCATTAATTTCAAAAAGACCTAATATTGTCGGTTGATTTTGAATACATCAAAAGGCTGCTGCATACGTTGCTGTCAAGGTTTCCACACCAATCTGAAGTAGAAGTGTAGCTCAGTTAACGGAATGCTTGTTTCGATCCGGCTCCAGTGACGTCCAGCGCAGCCCGAAATCTAATTATCTGACGTCGTAGGCGGACGCACCCGGTGTGGGTGATACTGAAGGCGGTTTAGTTCTGGTCAGGCAATTTAAGCATTCCTTGAGTCAAGACATAGCCTAGCTATGACGTTTTCAAGTCTGTACTACAATTTGTGTCTGTGGGATGCTTTGTATCTGTTCGATCAGTGCTAGTTGATTCGGGCACGATATTTAGACTGGTTATAGACATAGAAGTGTGCACAGTAAGCCTCTTTAGGACGATGTAAGAAGCCGATAGGAAATTGTATAAACGCATAGCATTAATGATTCGTGGTTACCTATTCCTACTGTACATTTGAGGTGCAACCCGCCAGGCATCCCTTCTCCTTGTCGACCTTGCTGGCTCAGAACGTTTCAAAGTCTGGTGCCGAGGGTGATCGCTTTAAGGAAATGACAATCATTAATTCTGCACTCTTGAATCTGCAAAACAGTATTCGTAGTCAGTTGAATAAGGTGATATTCTTTGCTTATTGCATTTCACTTATTTCTTATGAGCAATTCTAGTTATTGGTTTATGAATACTTTACGTAGTTTGTGTGAGGGTGGTATTAGATCTTTTTTGAGAATTCTTGTTTCTAGAGCATTTTTTAGAGTGTTGTCTAGAATGTTGTTTCATTTTTAGATTTGCTCATTTTCAGTTTTTCTCGTCAAAAAGAATTTTTAATTTTTAAAATTTACTGCGCACGCTCGGCGGTCGTGTATCACCTATCACCTGTATGTTGTCTCGTTAGTCATTGATTGACTCGTGCGGACGCTCGTAATCTTCCATTTCTCCCTGTCGCGTGCAAGAGTGGCCCAGTGGGTTCTTCTGGCTTTACGGACTGCTTGAACATCATATCTTTCTTATAGAGTTTTCTTGAAGGACTTTGACCATCGAGTCGGTGATCTTCCTGCGGTGCGTTTAACTTCCCAAGGAATCTAATCACTAACGACTCTGGTATAGCAGTTGTCGTTTGCACACTACGAGTCCGGCGCACCTTATCGTCGACAGCCTTGCGTATAGAAAGGTGTCCTTGATTTTGACGCAGGTCGGAGCTTGGGATCGCTTCCTTTACTTGCGTGACACAGGATACTCCAAGCGTCGTCCTTTTGACTGCGCCCTCAATAACGCTGAATGATCTTTCATCTTACTTACGTAGCGACCACGTTTCTGACGAACACTTTAAGGCAGGAAGAATCTTATAGCCGAAAAGATGGACATGGAATATGGTTTTCCTTGTTTTTTTTCACTACATCCTCCATGGTTTTGAAAGCTCCTCATGGTGGTCGCTTCCTACTTCTCATATCTGGAGCGAAGTCTTTCATCATGTGGATTTTTCCGACCTAGGTAGACGTAGCTGAAGTATTCGGAGATATTTGTACTCTGAGCGCTAACAGGGCACATGCAATCAATATGCACGTTATGAACATCGTTTTTATGATGGGCACGTGTATCGCAGTGATCGGAGGAGCCCTGTAGTACACATAGGATCGATTCCAGCGCCCCAGACTCACCAAGCTCTCCATCCCTCTAGGTCGGCAAATTGGAAAGAGACTTGTATGGGAGGATAACAGCACTGGTCAATACATCAGTAGGCCACCGCGAGTCATTTTAGAGGCCAGATATGCATTCAGCCACGTTCAGCGATGCTTAATAATGTCGAGCGCATGGAGCAGCCCTCAGGAATTGATCATCGTTGACGTCACCGACTCCTCTACTATTGCATGTTCCAAGGAACAGTTCTCCGGTCTCACAGACAGCGTTGAATTTGTGGCGTCTTTTCGTTTCAGCCTGTCCGATGAAAGCGTACCTTATCCTTCTTGTCTTCATAATGAGGTGCTCTGTCAAGAACTCAGATTCAAATGTGGCTGTATTTCAGGTACAAATAGTTACCAAAGTGTTTGTTACTTAGGCAGCCTGCATCAGGTTGAGATTTTAGCATCCTGTCCGTGCTCGTCCAAGACAGCGCTGACGTGTCAGGGCTTCTTTCGGGGTCAGAGGAATGAGGCCCGTTTATTTTACTGGGTTCAGCGTTTGATACCTCCGTATAGATGACTAAATCTATCACATATGTTACCACAAATACAGGGGTGAGTCTAATCTCCCTACGAAAACCGCTAGATTTTTTAACGACTAGAATTTCACTACATTGCACTACTACCAAAACGTCTCAGCACAGACTCTGTTTGTCGATGAATTGTTTTTGGATCTCAGTTGGTAAGAGTGGAAGAGTGGAAGAAAAACCGTCCTACTTATAAATAACAATCGGTTTATACTGTGCAAATTTGCGCTCGAAAACACGCAGTCACGGCTGCTCAAGTCCTTTATTGACCAGTTTACTAGGCTTACTGGGGAATCTGTTTAATTGGAATAGGTTCGACGAAGCAAATCAACAAACCAGATGAACATATTGGAGTTTATCGACTCTAGAGTGAACAGCTTGATCCGTGAGAAGTGTGTCAAGTTGTCGAGTGCTGTGAAGATGCAAGAACTAAGTATCAACTAGCTTGAACAACATACTTGACTTTTTTTTCTTCAATAAAAGAATTTGGATACACGTTGTTCAAAATTGATTCGAATGTCACGAAATTTGGTACGAGTGCACAATGGGACGCACGGCTTTTGAAAAGGATAGCACCCCTTAACATTGTGAGTTTATGATCTTTCTGTCCTATTATCCGGTGTACAGATGTCTTACGCCAATTTTCACAGTTGATGTAATGCCTGCGTATGAGGGCAAAATAGTTTATTCTGTAACAAACTTTCCGAAAATTTGTCTAATTCTGTATTGTTTTTGATACCGAAGTTGCTGTAAAATGTGTTGATAACGAATTAAGATAAATTTCCATTCCAAGAGTTACTTCTTTTCTTAATATGTGGACCATGTTGTCTTTAAAAATGGTGAAGGAGTTATCTCTGAGAAAATAGCTTTGAAACCCCCACTGATGATAAGGTATTTTGACGCTGGGAATTTACTCAATATGGTTTGCCTGGGGGCGCGTGTGGCGCAGTGGTTGGAGGCGCCGCTGCGACACACACTTGGAATCGATCCCAGCGCCCATGGGCCACCAAGCCCTCCATCTCTCCGGGATCGGCAAGTTGGGGCCAGACTTATCTGGGAGGATAGTAGCACTGGCTCGATACATCGGTAGGCCACCGCTAGTCATTGTAAAGGGCAGGTATGCATTCAATCACCTCCAACGATACTTGATGAAGTCGAATGCATGGAGCATCCATCAGGGATTGGTCAACACCGAGAACTTTCTCCTTTATCCTTTTATGCTTTACCGGATTTGAGATGGTTGGAGGTGACCTGAAATACACAGTCGTTGTTGGATCTATCTCGTGCCCAGGCTTCACCAAGCCTACTATCAGTTCGGGTTTAGCAAAGTGCTGAAAGACTTGTCTGTGAACAAGGAAAAAACACCAAATACATTAGTAGGTAGCTAGTCCTGATATGCATTCAATCACCTCCAAAGATACTTGATGGAGTCGAACGCATAGCGCATCCAGCAGGAATTAATTAACGCCGATAGATTTATCCTTTCCTTATTCTTTTGCGGAGAGAACTGCCTTTCTGCTGCTGAGTTATATTGATATGGCTTCACAAGGTTGCTAGGACTTCGCTATTTCGGCTGGCCTTTCAGCGGTAGTAATTTCTATTTCAGTTGAATGCTCTAGTGTTTCTAAAGGGAAAATGTTAGAAGGCATCGGAAACACTCACAAAGGCGAATTGGACAAAAATACAAAGAAAGTGAAAGCAGCAATGATTCGACGTCCCATGCAGTAGCCTCCTGCGACACCTGGGTGCCACTGAGTCGGATCTAGAAAAGAGGATCACCATGTACATGAAGTAACCTTATCTTTTGCAGTGGATCGTATTCTTATTTTTTTTTTAACATGGAGGAACTGTTAATCTAAACTCCTATTTGTTGTGAGCAGCAAGAGATAGGACGAAATCCAAAGATATCCAGCCAGCATTAGTCTGTGAGAGGACCTCGAAAGACACCTACCGTCCAGGTGTTGCGAGTATGGCATCCTATGTAATCAGTTGGGACAGGAAATTTTTTTAAAAAGCATAGTTGTTATTTTTAGTAAAGTATTTCTCAATTAGGATGGTTTATTATGTCTATTTCGAATCAGAATATCGATGCTTGGTGGAGTTTCAAGTAACTTTTTCTCAAGTTTCAAAACTTCACCCTCAAACACCCATTTGAAAACAGGCCTTAACTTTACTTCGACATGAGCACTCAATATCCTCTTGGATTATCTAGCTTATACGAAGATGCTACAAAACCGCTATTCGGCAACATTTCGCCACCTTCGACTTCTCCACGGTAGGTTCCCATGTGCATCAGAAACTTCAACGCCTGTGCTCCGCACTGTTCAAGCGAAAAGTACCAGTCCTCCACGCTGACCATCAACCACTGGTCGCACAGTTAACGCAGAGAGGATAAATAGGATAAGCTACGAAACTTTGTCATCCATCAT